TGAACCTTCCCCTCTGTGACTGGCCGCAGTCTCTGGAAAACGTGAGCCTGGTGCGTCTGGGCTCGGCCTCCAGGTCTGCAGGGTTGCACCTTGGCCAGCAAGGCCTCCCCGAGCGCGCCCCGACTTCTCCACTGACCCGATTCGGACCCATGTTCAGCGGAAACGGCACATTCAGGACATTCTTTTACAACAGCAGAGGGAGCAGCAGGGAACACAGAGAGGGCCCCGTGAAACGTGAGAAAGAGCAAGAGGCCAGGGCTCTGCTGGGTGGGGCGGCAGCGCTCTTCTTGGGGGCCCCTTCCCGCCCCGTCCAGTAACTCCCCACCCAGCATTAGCTGCGGGTGACATCACTGACTTCCCGGACACCCCAGCAGTTTCCTGCTTTCCCCAGGCAAGCCAAGCCGTGGCGTCAGCAGCACCTGGCAGGGCCGTGGCCGGGTCAGGGCCGGGTGGAAGCCGGGGCCACACGGCGCGATGTTGAATAAGCGCTTGCTCTGGTCCCTTCTCCCCCCGACAAACTCCCACACTGTGAGGCGGCTAACCCAGACCCACCACAGCAGGCGGAAAATCCCCACGACACACAAAGTCACGAGGAACCCCGCTCCAGATGGAGCCCAGGGGCCCCATGAAGGGCACAGGGGTGGGGGCTGCAGCCAGAGGACGCAGCTCTGCCTTCGGACCTGAAACATCTCCGTGTCCCAGCAGCTTGCCTGTCCCTCCTCACCAGACAGGGACCCAAGAGCACAAAGAGTCTTATTTCTCTAAGTCTCAACAGGCTGCTAGAAAGGGTCCAGTTCCCACTGACCACAGTGTCAACCCAAAAATGTCTTTGTCCCTTTGTGGATGCAGCTGAGTGACTACTTAACCCCAAGATTCGAGCCCAGATTCTCCCCCTGAAGAAACTCATGTTCTAATTTTACATCCGATGCCTGTCCATAAAGAAGACTTTCTATTCCAGAAGACTCTGTGTCCACAGACTTCGGCGTGCCCCTGTGTGAGGTCAAAGGGAAACAGTTGCTCCACCCAAAACTGACTTCAAAGGGCTTCTGCTGGGAGCTCACCCTGGCGGGCACCTCGCCATGCCAACTGCTTTGGCAACGCACTGTGATTTCAGAGACGCCTGTGAGAAGGAAGGGGGTCCTCACCCCTCCCCACCACAAGGCAGTCGGCAAGCAGGGCCCTGGGACAAATTAACAGGGGAAAAAACTACCTTGTATTTGCAGAACAGAATCCGGGGCTCACAGATTTAACTGAACTAGATACTGGGGAGTGTGCTTCTTAGGGAAAAGCCAAGCTCTTTTGTCTTTTTCTGTGCCCCAAATTTTCAGATGTTGAAACACCTAAGACAGGCCAGGCCAGGGGATTCCGCCGGCCAGGTTCTCCCTGCTGTTCAAGGCTTTCCTGCCACTGATTGGGCCTCGTTAAGCAATCCCTGCTCCCAAGTACTTTCAGCTTCTCGTCTCCCTACAGATTGCATTTTCAGGTTATAAAAGTGACCTGGGTGTAATGCAGCCATCTGAAATCGAAAATAAAGGAACAGAAAAAAAATATTCATAGTATCACATCAAATTAAAGAGCTTCTGCACAGCAAAAGAGACAATAACAAAAACAAAGAGAAACCCCACCGACTGGGAGAACATTTTTGTACACAACACTAATGATAAAGGACTGATCACAAAAATCTGCAAAGAGCTGATGAGACTCAACAACAACAAAGAAAATAATCCAGTCAAAAAATGGGCAGAAGAGCTAAAAAGAAACTTCTCTGAAGAGGAAATGCAAATGGCCAACAGACATATGAAAAAATGTTCAACATCATGTAATCAGGGAAATGCAAATCAAAACTACCATGAGATACCATCTCACACCAGTGAGAATGGCACATATTAAAAAAACTAGCAACAACAAATGTTGGCGAGGGTGTGGAGAAAAAGGAACTCTCCCGCACTGCTGGTGGGAGTGCAAACTGGTCCAACCACTGTGGAGAGCTGTGTGGAGATTTCTGGACCTACTAAACACAGAGCTTCCATAGGATCCAGCAATTCCACTCCTAGGGATTTACCCAAAGGACACAGAAACATCAATTCCAAAGAGCACCTGCACCCCTATGTTTATAGCAGCACTGTTTGCAATAGCTAAGCTATGGGAACAACCCCAATGCCCAAAAATAGATGACTGGATCAAGAAGATGTGGTCCATATACACCATGGAATATTACTCAGCATTCAAAAAGGATAAACACATGCAATTTGCAGCAACATGGATGGAGCTGGAAGGGATCATGCTCAGCGAAATAAGCCAGAAAGAAAAAGAAAAATACCGGATGGTCTCACTCATAGCAGGAATCTAGAAAACTTAAATAAGGGACCAGGAAAATGAATAACTATAAGAAAGTGAAAATCAAAAACAACAAAAAACTATGAACCAGAGACACTCTATGGGGGTAAGGGGCAGAAGGGGAGGGACTGGGGTCAAAATAAGGGGGTTGCAATTGTATGGGGAATATAAAAATAAAATTTATCATAAAAAATAAATAAATAAAAAATATTCATAGTATCACGGCCCCACGCCAGTGGTTTGGTATCTTTTTACTGTGTTTCTATGTGGGATTTAACTGGCTTCTCAATGATATCGTTTCATGTGCTCTGCTTACATGTTAATATTTTCATAGCATATCATGAAATTTATACCAAGGTATTAAACTGTCCTTGTAAACTATAGAAACTTAAAGTATATTACGAAATGTGACCACAAGACAAAGATCACTACTAAATTTTTTTGGGTGGGAGGCACGGATTTATTTTGGAGAAGTTTTGTAAGTTATGAGGCTTATTGGACAGGTTTATAAACCTGAAGTTTTGAGAGAATTCTGGAAACATAACAGGGTTATTGTATAGAATATAGAGCTGGAAAATCTTCAAAACATTTTGCCCTTTTCTCCCCACATCCAATATGTGTATTTGCCAAACTATTACTTACACGGAGAGGCGCTACCCGGTGACACGCTGGTCAACAATCTTATACTATTTTGTAGCTTTCAATGGGAGAAAGAACATGGAAGTACAAAGTCACTACAGAGAGGCGAGGAGGCACATGGCGGGTACTAGGAAGGAAGAGTTGTTTTAAGAAGGAAAAACGAGCCACCTCGAAGCAAGATGGAAAACACGGCCGAGGCCTGTGAGCAGCAGCAGGTGTCAGATGTCCTGACATGAGTGGAATGTGGATACCAGTGCATGGCACAGGTTAATGACATTATTTGATTGCGATGATCAATGCCAATTAAAGGGGCAACTGAATATTAAAGTGGTAGAAAAATCTGACTTATAAGTGAAGAGGGAGGGGAAAAGAATAGCAAACTCTGGAGAAAAAGCGGAACTGGAGGCGTTCCCCGCGTGATCTCCCAAAGCCAGTGTTGACTGTTTGAGGAGGAAGCACATGGTGGGATTCTCCAGTTAGGCAGCCAGAGGGAGCGCCCCCTGAGGCCACATGGCAGGGGGTTCTCCTTTGTCCTCAAGCCCACTGTGGTCTGTGCTCCTCTTTATTCACTAGCGCCTCTGGTAAGGCCTGTGAGGGAAGGTCAGATCTCGGTCACCCTTCCAAGCGCTTGAGTGAGTGAAAGTATGGGAAGGTTTCTGAGGACTCAGTTTGGGTTTTCTTTCTGGAGTGGATAGATGAATATGTCTTTCAGAGTCACTCAATAAACACGTCCAGTGATTAATAGTAAGAGTGACTCATTGTGCTAGAATTTTCCCACTTGTAGGAGCTGGGCCCCAGTGTCCTCATACCCCGTCCCTTGGACATCTCAGCAGGAAATCCCCTTGGATGTCCTGTACCTGGGTGACAAATATTAGAAGCATTTCATCGTGCTGTGACGGGGCCCACACTGGGGTCAAGTCTAAGTAAATATTGCCCTTATTAGGGGACCCCAGCCTCCTCAGTGTTTGCCTGATGCACACGCAGCTTCCTCTCTGTCATAGAAAGTAGACCCAGAGTGATGGCTTCCTGACCTCCAGGATTTCAGCAGTGAGGCACCACTTCCTTCCTGGCTCCTCACCCCATTATCTCTGAAGGATCTGACCACAGGGCACCAGAGCTCACTGCAGTGACCACTGGAGGGTCCTGGCCCAGAGCCGGGAGATGCCACACGACAATGGTGGCAGAGGGTGCTTTTCAGGAAACCCAGCCAGCCTGCGGCCGCCTCTCTAGCACCACACATTCATCGTCTAACCAGCCACATGTCAAAGAGGAGAGGAAGGCCAAATGGACAGAGGGACTTGTGTTCATACAGCATCGACAACAGCCACGATGATTGAGAATCTTAATTCTAAATTGAATCCAAGAACAGGCCCAGGTGGGAGGTCAATTTCAGCCACTGATGGCTAGCAAGGGAAGCCGTCACATCATTGTGAGGCCACAACGAAGCACAATATGTACTAAGTCCATCATTATGGATTTTAAGCCTGTTAAGCTTTAATCTCTTTCCTAGTTCCCTTCATGCCCAGAAAACTTGAAATAAATAATAATCAGCCCATAGCAATGTAGTCCCGACGAAACAAGGCCAAAAATGAGAACTCATGGGATTCCCTCATTTTCCAAGGCAGGGTTTCCCACCTATGTGGAGGGAGAAACTCTGATTTCCCCAGTCCGGGGGTGGGAGTGTGCGGGCACGAGCAGACGCCTCCATTATCCCACTGCAGTGAAATCTTATCATTTTGAGTGCAACAATGTGAAAAAAACATCAAGAAGAGCAACCTCAAGGCATTCTATCAAAGAGCAGACTGAATTTTCCCAAGTTATTCTTTCTTGTTCTAAGGAAGGGATCAGCTTCCTGAGTGCAGGATGGAAAAATAGAACAATCTAAACCATGATGGCAGAGGTGTTTTTATGGTGGAAAAAGTATTGAGTAAAACAGCAACTACTGCCCAATACCAGATTTGCAGAGAATTGGCAGATCATGAAGACAACGTGGACTAGTAGGGTGTTTGGAGAATGTCACTCACCGTTCCAACCAAAGGGTAAATGAAGCCAGCGCCGATGCTGGCCCGGACATCGCTGATGGGTAAAATGAAATCCCGGGGTACACCTTTCTTGTCAGGTTCATGAGAGAGAGACAGGTGGGTCTTTGCCATGCAGATGGGCAAATTTCCAAAACCCTGTAAGAAATGAAAAGCAAATGTGTTCTTTGGCGTAAATACCAGTCTCCTTTCTCTATGTCCCGTGCATTCTCCCCAGTCCCTGCAGCTCAGAGCCAGGCACATAGTAGGTGCTTGCTGCTACTTGTTCATTTGACAAGATGGGACAAAAACCTCATGTGATCAGCACCTGGCAGGGTGAGGGCGTCTTAATAACTGATTTGGGAGAATTCTCCTTTGGGAATGGCAGCCCTGTGTGCAGGTCTGGGGGAAAGTGTGGCTATTTCCAGGCAAAGCAGAAGCAGCAGCAGCTGGAGAAACTACTTCCAAGGATATTAATATCCGGACTCTGAAAGGTAACCTAGAGAAAGGCCCGTAATGAGGACGTGAGTCACGTTTCCCTCATTCCTGGAGGCCCGTCAGGAAGCAAAGGGCACTTTTGTGTTGCTGTATGAATCATGGCTATCTGATCTGCGATTACATTATACGAAGTAAGATGAGGTCACTATTTAAGCCTCTTATTTTTAAGGACCAAAGGCTACGTCTGACCCAGCGTTCCAGGGGTGAAAGGGCAGGAAGTTACATTTGGTGTCTCACAAAAAGGACAGTGTCCTCGAAGTCTGTTTCCGATGAAGGGTGCACAGCGCCCCTGAGAGACTGTGCTAATTAACTGCTGCTACATACGTGACAAGAAACTTTTAAGGGATGTCCCCTCACTAGAATGAGATAAAAAGAAGACAATTTTCAGAGGCAAACCTCATTGAATTTATGTAAAACCACAGAACTTTATAGTATTGTCAATTGAGGGGCTGAGTACTCTTTTCCTGAAATGTTATAAATACTCTTATGGACTGATAGGATCTTGCTGAATTTTCACAATTGCTTTATGGAAATGGTGCCCAGAATTGTGGGTTTCAGTGATCAGTCAAATATTGAAATAACATCTATGAACTGATGTAGGATTGCAGGAAGATTAAAACCACCACCACCACCACCATCAGCAACCCAATTGGCCATATACCAGTATCTCATAATTCATGAAGTATAACAGGAAGGAAGGGCTAATAAGAATAAACTCTAGTCCCTAAATAGCATTACTAAAAAAATCATGGTTTAAAAACCTTCTGAAAATGACCTTATTTCACAGCACATGAGCAGAATGTTAGAGGTACATTTATTTTATTTTTTTTAAAGTAAACCCAAGAGCATACTAAGAAAAATGAATTGCTGGCTATTTTACCAAATTTGGGAGGCAATAGCTGGCATTGGTAGTATTTAAAAAATGTCAAATATGTATGTATAAATAAGATTTAGAGGTGGGGGGCAACAATAATAAAAGTCCATGAATCATACAAAGAAGCTCATTTGCCAGCAAGTTCTGGAAGGGCCTGGATCTGTGCCTTTTTTTTTCCTTCTTATTTTTTTTTTAAATTTGAGGTAACATTGATTGACAACACTGTATATGACGGAGAGGTATGGGATTGCCCCCTTCAGGTACATGTCACTCCACACCATCCATAGTCCTCCGCCACTGTCCATTGTGCTGTGTCCCTGATCTCTCTGCTCTCCCCTCTCCTCCTGTGGTAGAAGGGTTTTATCACTGCAAACTGGATGGGGCATGAGAGGCACGTGGTTGTTTTGGTCCAGGTGGCTGAACACACTGCATGGAGTCCATTAAAGATGGTCACTGTAGGACTAGACTCACATTGTTGAATCACGGCCACTTGCCAACTTGTCTTTATCATCCCTAGACATAGAAGTGGATGAGCCTTCAACCTTGGTGCGTAATCTCAAGGCAAGAAGCCACTTACATAAAAAAGAGCACCAAGCACCCCCATCTTTATTTGCTGCACTCCTATTTGCCTAACCTGGCACCATGCTTTTAAGGTAATGAGAGATGCCTGAAATGAATGAACCACATGGGATTGTGAAGTCTGAGACCACAGCGATATTGTCAAGGACATGCTCCCTGTTTTTGGCTGAGCAGGAGGGACTAGAGATCACACACCACATACAAACACGGACATACAAACACGCACATTACATACACATAATCACAAATCAATGACACCCAAGCATATACTCCCAACAGAACACTCTAAGAGAGTCAGCATGGTAGCGGAGGATAGGAGGTCAATCGCTGTGGACCATCGAATAGATTGTTAAGTTCAGCTGTTGGGACATATACCCCTTCTGAAGTCAAGGAGAGTATTTCCCCAAAGCTAAGGTGGATTTCCCCTGCACCGCCAAAGCATCCCTTTTACCTGTTGTGTGTAGCGATCTATTTTTGATTGTGCCTCGGGAGAGAGCTCGATGTCTTTGGCTCCATAGACAGTCTGGGCAATGGTTCTTATCTTTTCCACAATTGGAAGCTGGAGAAACACAAATGACGGCAAACACATTAATGTTAACCTAGTTTAAGAATTGTGAGATTTTTGGGCCTCCCCTGGTGGCACAGAGGTTGAGTGCTGGGCTGCGAAGCTGCCCGCAGCCTCTGCAGTGCCGGTTCGATCCCCAGCAACCAGCGAAGGTCCCACATGGCACGCAGACCTCTCCTGCCGCCTGCTGCTCCCCTTAGCAGTGTGTTTCGTCACTCTGCCTGTTCTGTTCCCCGCTCTGGTGAATTCTCTCACCCTCTCGCGCTTCTGACTGTACCCAGTGCTTGTATAAATAAATAAATCTTAAAAAAAAAAAAAAAAAAAAGAATTGTGAGATTTTTCTGTAATTGCTTAAAATCTCAAGATTCCTGCAAGATTCCTTCCTCAGCTACTGTGGCATTTGAAACAAACCCTTTATCACCCCTAAAGCATGGGTTTTCAGATCAGGCCAACTAGTAAATAAGAAGCATTAGGTATTCAGTCGACTCAGGTTACTTATCTAGTTAATCATTTTTATCCACTGCAGCATTAAAAAAAAAACAACACGATTCATACAATGCTTTTTAGAGGCCTTATAAATCAGAGAAAGAGCTTCCTAACCAGATATTTAGTGCTAGTTTTTTTTTTTTTTAATAGAGGCATGTTTTATTTATTTATTTATTTGTTTGTTTTGTTTATACAAGCACTGGGTACAGTCAGAAGCGTGGGAGGGTGAGAGAATTCACTAGAGCCAGAGCGGGGAGCAGAGCAGGCAGAAGGACTGAAGTACACTGCTGAGGGGAGCAGCGGGCGGCAGGAGAGGTCTGCGCACCATGTGGGACCCTCCTCTGGTGGCCGGGGAGCAGCCGGGGATCGAACCGGCGCCGCAGAGGCCATGGGCAGCTTCGCAACCCAGCGCTCAACCACTGCGCCACCGGGGAGGCCCTACTTAGTGCTAGTTTTTAAGTGGGTCTCAACTTGGGTTAGAATGCAGAAAACTTAGCAATATTAAAGAACAAGTACTTTTTTGTGTGTGAGCAAGAATGGATCACTACTTTAATATAAATGCTGACTCCATCTAACACTTCATTGCAAAATCAGAGATTGAATCCAGTGTCATGTTAGCAAATTATGAGAAATCAAGGAGAATTGAAAAGTCAAAGACTACATATAAACAAAAGTAGGGAGGAGAAAAATCATGTATAATGCTAGACAGAAAACTGGATGCAGATTGCAGTTAAAATACTGAAAGTCATCTGAAGAAACAAGAAGAATGGTTCATTCAGAAAGGATTATGTCATAAAGTTATTCTTAATTTAAACAAAGCATGTGACAAAACTGTTCACAATTTTACTGTGGGCAGGAACACAAAGGCAGAGCAGGGCTGACTGTTGGGTGAACAGTCACGGGACCAATGGACACCAACCCGGGGCAGATGTCCCTGGTTGGCAATGTTGAATGGCACACTTGCACCAGTTACCACTGATACACAGGAAGGAGAGTTACCCAAAGGGAGAAAAGAAAAGCTAGTTTCATCTTCCCAACCTGATAGAACTCAAAACTAGTTTAAAATGTGTTTTTCACTACTACCGTTTTTATTCTGAAGAGCTGTTCTCGTTTTGGAATTTAAATATGGGATGTTTCAATGAGTAAAAAAGAAATAAAGGTGCAAGTCAGTAGAACCTTTCACTGAAGGACATCAACCAGGGTCGGAATCAATGCAGAGAAATACTTTGCTCAGAGGTGAGGAGACTCCATACTGTACAGATGTCAGTTCTCTCCAACTTCACCTATAGGCTCAATGTACTTCCAATGCAAGTGCCAAGATCAGTTCTGGTTCTTGGCCAAGCAATTCTAAAATTCATAATGAAGAGTAACAGTATAAAACAGGTCAGATAATTTCAAAAATAAATAAACGCTAAAGAACAAAGATAGCTTGCCTTCTCAGGTATCAATCATACTACAAAATTATGCAAAGTGATTCCATGTGATATTGGCAGGGGACTAGATGACTACATCACCAGAAGATAAGAGGCAACTCAGCAGGTGTGGGATAGTGCAGCACAGAAATGGCACAAAACAGGGAAAGGGCTGACGACCCAACTGACATTTGGCTGAAGAGACATAAAATTAGATTCTTATCTCACACCAGGCTTCCAGATAAATCCAACATGGAATGAAGGCATACATTTCAAATGAAAACTCTAAATATTAGAAGAAAGCTTTGGTAACTCTATGGTCCTGAGACGGAAAGGATCTTAAAAAAGGGAACAGACTTACTGATTTGACTACAACATTAAAACTTCTTGTATTAAAAAAGATACTGTCGCTAAGGCTAAAGAATAAAAAACAAGTGTGGGTGCAAATAATTGCAATCATTAAAGTCAAAGAATTAGTTACTTAGAATGAACAAAAGAACTTCCCACAAATCGAGGAAAAGACAAATATTTAATACTGGGCAAAAAGGAATGACCAACAACCATATTAAAAATGTCTATTCTCTTTAGTAATCAAGGAAATGCCAATTAAAATAATGAAAAACCAACTCCCACCCATAAGATTTGCAAAACTGCAAACTGTAGGTGAGCTGAGGAGAGACAATTATTCTAAGTGCCTCAAGAGCCTTGGTTGATATGCAATGGTCCAGTCTACCATGAAACCTTCTAAGTGGCCCCTACACTCCTAACATGTCCTCCAATCTACTGCAGGTAGAATATTCTCACATCTAGGGACAACTATGTATAGGAAAAACTCAGTAACTTTCAGCTTCCCAGGGCCCACTAAGAGCAAAGTCTGGTTCTGGCATGCAAGCATCTGTATGACGTGTCCTCTGAATCAGACATACTAAGTCCCTGTATCTTAAAATCTATCCTTACATCCATGTTCTGGGCCCTGCACAAAAAGTGTTATAATCTTTAAAGATCAACCTCCATTAAAATTCCCTGAGCTCTATGAGATCTACCTCCTCAAATGTCAGCTTCTCTGGGAAGCCTCTCCTGGCCCAGCACTGCAGGCATTCTCTTCAATGTCTGGGTGCTGAGGCCTGGGTGCTGCAGGGCCAGCTCAGGCTACCCTGGGGACAGCCCTCAAGTGTAACTAATAGTCTAGATCAGGCTCTGACAACAAAACCTTCCAGAAGGCCAGGGGCCCTTTGCAAACCATGCCATCGGAGAAACTGCAGTGGACTCTCCACCACTGGAAGGGACAAGCCTGGAAAGAAGCTAAGGAAGCTGTAAAGCAATTTTCTAGGACAGCAGATTGTGAAGCAAGAACAGAAGAAAATCAGAAGGAAGTAATTTTAGCCAGTGTTTAAGGGAAAGTTATAAGAAGGAGAGCTATTCACCATGTGACCCCTGGAGAGTTCAGTGTAAGCCAGTTAGGGCATATGGAATGTTGTAGAAAGAATTACTGCATGATGCAGAGCTGAGGCTGTGCTAGAGGGATCACCCGGTGGGTAACTTCTGGTATAAAAGATTCTACACTCAGATAAAGAATAAAGGACCATTCAATGAGGTCAAGGACCACCTCTTGTTCACCTAGAGGAGGGATGTAATTCTGGAACACAGAATGAATGAATATTTCTAATTTCCATTGGCTAAGCATGGATCCCACGATTACAGGAGAGACAAGTGATGCTTGCGACAAGTGGAGGCTGATCTTGAAGACAACAGTGAGAAGTCTCCTTACAGGGGTCTTAGTTTTCACTTATCAGCATGTCCCCCCTTATCCACAGCTTACCTGGTTTCAGTTACCTGCAGTCAACTGAGGTCAGAAAATACTATGTGCAATAAGAGATTTTGAGAGAGAAAATAGTCACACAGCTTTTATTAGTCTATTGCTATCGTTGTTCTATATTATTATTAGTCATTGTTGTTAATTGCATACCATGCCTAATTTGTAAATTTAACTTTATCATAGTGATGTATGTGCTAACAGGAAAAAACAGCAAATACGGGGTTCAGTACCATTTGTGGTTTCAGGCATCCACCCAGGTCTTGGAGGGTATTCCCTAAGGATGGGGGGCTATTATGTTGATAGGCACTGAAGTGCTTACTATTTATGCTGCACTTAAGCTAAAATCATCTCCTTTGCTGGTCAATCAATGCTTTGCAAGCAACCCTTTTTAAGAAATTAAAGTTAGCAGGATGCTGAAAGATATTTCTAGCATCCACCTAGCAAGCATAATGGCTATGCTTGGACAGGGAAGTCAGCTCTCAGGAGGATACTGTGTCCCTAAAAGTGCAACAGCAGGGGCCTGGGAACAGGCAGGGTCCTGGAGGAGTTCAGGTCAACTTGTGCCGCCCCTCACCCCCACCTTGACCCTCCATGGCTGGGGCTGTGGGCCTAGGGCTAAGGAAGAATGTGGCCCCTTCTTATACCTGGATACCACATGCACCCTCTCTCTATTGGTTTCCTGGTCCCCCATATGGAAATGTGAATACCCCACTGTACCCACAGTTTCACTGCAGGCACTGAGGCAACATTGAGACGGCAGGAAGTCACGCTGCGCAAAGCTTCAGCAATGTCCCCATGACAGAGGGCAACAGAGTTGACTAAAAGAATTATATTTCTGTTGCAGAGGCTGCGGTGAGCTTCATAGGTTGCATCTTAACCCCCTGCGCCACCAGGGAAGCTACCCACATGGCACAGCAGACCTCTTCTGACTCGACCACTGAGTACAGTCAGAAGCGCGGGAGGATGAGAGAATTCACCAGAGCTGGAGCGGAAAACAGAACAGGCAGATCGATAAAATACACCGCTGAGGGGAGCAGCGGGCGGCAGGAGAGTTCTGCGCGCCATGTGGGACCCTCGCTGGCGGCCAGGGATCGAGCTGGTGCTGCAAAGGCTGTGGGCAGCTTCGCAGCCCAGCGTTCAACCACTGTGCCACCGTGGAGGCCCCAGTGTAACTTTTCTACTGAGGTGATAATGCAGAAAAACTCACAGGTGAACAAGGTAACAGGAAGTGGATCTTTAGTCAAAGAATCAGTGAATGTGGGGATTTAACTGGGTTATTA